ATATATTTTTAAAATCGATTCCTCGATAATATTCTGCCTAAAAAATTAAAAGAATAGGGTCAAGAAGTGTATAGTTTATCAGATATTTTTTATACTTCAATTCTATATCAAGTTTATCTTAATTGTTATTATATGACGCGTGTTAAAAATTAAAAATATCTGATATATCTATTAGTAAAGCATTCATTTTATAATAATCTTATTTCAATAATTTTATGCACAACGTAATGAAAGGATTCAACTGCTGTAAAAAAGATAACACACGTATTCTTATTTATGTATTATATATTTATGATATATATGCAAATTTGAATTTAATCGTATATAATTGCAAAACTGCTTCTTACGTTTGCATATACATATAAACAACTATATACACAAGATGTACAACAAATACTGAAACCCCTTAATTTGACAAAAACTACGCTACTATAATAGTTTCGAAAAAAAATAATTTATACAAAAGTCGTAAGACACTGTGTTTGTTTAGTGTTTACATGCCACGATTATACATTAATATTAATTTTTTATTATATACATTAATACGTATTTTAAAACAAGGAGAATAATTAAATAGCAACAAATTTTAAACAATACTATTAATTAAACAAAATAGTTCTAAGAAACGATAATATATACTTAACGATGATATATATACAATTTTGGGATATTTCTATCACGATTATAAACAATAAAAGCGACAAGCATGATATACACAGTGTCCCTTAATTTGCGCCCACTAAGTACACAGGTTAAAGCTCAATTAATAGACGTGAATTAAGTGACGCCATGTATAAAATCGCGTTTTATAATCAATTTGTGACAGCGTTGAAGAAATTCAGCTAACTGGAATAATGCAAACTTTAATCCTCATTTTAATTAGTTAAAAGTGTGTACATACTTACAGTGCTGAGAATTAAATCGGAATTGAACTCGTCGTTCCTTCTAGATCGAAATATTTTTTCCACAGGCTCGTTTGGTTTGAGGTACACATTCTTATACAGACTACCGTAAAATGACAGCAAACACAAAAACCCTATCAATCTTATTCTATCCATAATTAACTACTAAACAGTAAATAAAAACAACTCGATTCCTAAAACTAAGATTCCTCTATGAGAAAGCAAAGTTATTATTCTCTTTCAATTATTGCTTCCTCATAGAAGAATCTTTTAATAAGTAAAATTAAATTTTGATCAATCAATGTGCGAGTTAAGCTTCCTGTATGAGGAAACTATAATTGAAGCAATGTGCAAATTTCAATTTGCACAACTTTTTTATTTAAATTTTTTTTAATTATCTTAATTACGGAAAGAATAAGCTCTAGATAAGTTAAAAAATGTATAATCATAAAATGTATTTTTTTAAATGTTTGGTATTTTTTAAAATTTAATTTATTAAGAAAACATTTTTTGAAAAATTGATAATTTTATAATAAAGTTCAAATTTTCACTTTTTTTACATAAATTAACAATTGTTAAAAAGTTAGATGTATGTGTATGTGTGTGCGTATGTACTCACTTTCCTATATTTATTTCGTAAAATTTGAAAATCTATTTTTTTCAAAATTCAAAATTTGTATAATTCACCGATCCATGTTAAATCATTCTACATAAAATATCCTTTTTAATTATACTTTATTTATGTAAAAAAATGTGCTCAATATTTTAAAATTTGCGAAAAATAAAAATGCATATTTCTTAAAAATTTTAAATTTTATAAAAAATAAACTTTCACGGATCATCGCCAAATTCAATACCAACTCTTCTTAAATGATAGATTTATGTAAAAAAATTTATCCCCAAATCTTAAAATTTATCATGCATGCATAAAAATATATTTATTAATTATGTGATTCATAAAAATTTAATATATGAATTAGTAACAAAAAATAAAAAATATAATTTTCTACACAGTCTGTTTTTTTTCTATTTTTTCTATCAGATTAATTCTCTCTGATACATCCCATACGTCTCTTATGCTCGCGTTCGCGCGACATTGATTCTCGGGCGCGGTATAACAAGCGTGGGACCGATGGTCACATGACCAGTGGTCACGTGACCTCGGGCTCAGGCTCGCGATACCTCGAACTAGAATCTAGAATCAGTCTCGCGCGAGTCGCGCAGTGTAATGGATGTGTAGGATATGTAGTCTCGCGCGAGTCTAATGAAAGCGTAGATATTTGATCACAAAGATTCTTGTAGAAAATTTTATTTCTTTATTCGTATTTTCTGTTAGAGAGTATATATTTATGTTTTATGCATTAATTGCAATAATAATTTTTGCATGCATGTGTCGCAAGAAATTTTAGAGATTTTATGATCAAAGTATAATATAATTTCTCTTTGCGTGCGTAATTATATTGGGTTAGATTAAACGAAATAATTTATATATATATTGCCGAATTTTAATTATGTATATAATTTAAATTTTTGATCTAATTATTAAATTTTTGAATTTTTATTATGTATACCAGACACCACTAGCGCGCCCTTCGCGCGCGTTATTGAAATTATTTTATTTTTTTATTTTACAATAACTGTCAAACTATTAACCTTCACAGTATCGCGGAAGAGCAGCATCATTTTTGCGATTATCGATTTTGCATGTCTTTTTTAGCAAGAGATTATAATATCATCTTAAACATATTATATTTGTATATTTGAATATATAATTATAATTATAAGATATGTGTTATATAAAATACAATAAAAGAATGACAGATATCTAGATAAAGACATTGATTAATGTTATCGATGCTTAATTAAGAAATAATTTTAAAAATTTTAAAGAAAATATATAAGTTTGTATTTAGTTAATTTGGTATAATTATAAGATTATTTACATTATATATTATAAAGATAAAGCGATAAATTTGTCAACGATGTCAATGTTGTCTTATTTTATCAATCAACCTGAATACGATGTAAGTCATTAAAACAAAACTGCTGTTAATTGTCAATGTCGTAAATAATTGTTTATGTCCATGATAATGCATTATCTTTAGTATTTTGTTTGAAACCTGCGTCCATGCTATAAACACCTTTAACTTGATGATTTGTTAATCTAGATTTACATATAAAATTAAATTAGTAAAAAATATGGAATAATAAATAGTATACAAAAATTTTCTTTAAAAATTACGTGCGTTATTTAATTAACAGAGATCCAAATTATTACTACTATACTTATCTTATTTATCTTATGATTATATACGAGAAAACTCGAGAGATATTTAAATATTTTCCAGATTCACAGATACATATTTATATAAATATATTATACATTCTTAAATTTAAGACTATAGGTATTTGAATTATAAATCGACAATTGTAACATTTTCAAGTACAAGATTACTTAACAAAGTTGATATTTAGGAATTTATACATAATGCGAGTAAAATACAAAATATTTATGTTATAGCAGATTTGTCTATTTAAAATATTTTTGATAAAGTGATAAACATTTGAATTTATTGTGCTTATCGTACATATACAAGTTCAACCAAGTAATTAAAAAGAGATAGAAAGCAATAATATTTTATCAGTCATAAAATTTTACTGTTAAAATTGACTGTCGCACTGCTGTTTTTTTCTATACAATAAATTTTCTATTCTGACTTGTACATCATAAAAATGCGTACATACAAATGTGCAATTCAAAAAAGATAAATAAAATGTTAAATCTAAAAATTATTTCCTGTTATTGTTTAATAATTTATTAATCAAACTTGTTTACTTAGTTTATATTCGTGTTTTACTAACTGAAAATTCAGACAGAAAATGGGATAATTATAAGAATATAATTGTTGTATATGGTATAAGGAGGCGTGAGTATCGTACAATATTTTTGCACTTTCTTCTCAATTAACAAAGTATATTTTGAATATTAATCTTGACTATTACAATCACTGGAGCAAGTATTTGCCGTGCTATGTCTTGCAAGAGAAGAGTGATCTTTATCTATTACTTCGGTCTTAAACTTTTTAACGGTAGCGTTTATATAATATATTTATTTATTTATTATATAAGCATTTGGCGTTATACTGATGTATGTGATATTAGCTTCATCTATTCATTAAATTTGGAAGACAACTTCAAATGGATCAATAATAGAAATAAATAATAATCCCAAAAACATTTGTGAGTTAGTGCATTAAGTTTTAAATTTTTATAGAATTATATTAATTACAAGATGTGACAAGTTCCGGGACAGACAAATATTTTGTAATAAAGTATTTACAAAAAAAATGTTTTAAACAATAAACAATTACTTGGTTACAAGATATATTAAATTATTTCAACTTTGCATTATTTTGTAAAAACCATTTTAAAAAGAGGGGGACTAGGAGAATTGGGGGAATGAAGAATTCCTCATTCCCCCATTCCTCCCATTCTCCCATTCACTCCATTCCCCCAATTTCCCCAATAGAATTTTTTAACGGAAATCTTTATTGCATATTGTATTTGTAACTAATGTCAAAAAGTGTATTTAAGATAATTTAATTATTGTTTAATTGATCACTTTTTATTGTTATAAATGTTGAATTTATGTATTAAAAGTTATATCTCTTTATCAAATTTAATCAAATCAATCAATTTTTCCAAGTTTTATTTGTAATAAATATTTTTGGTAAATAACTTTTCTTGATATCATTAAATAGAATTTTATTTAAAAAATTAAATATTTAATTTAATTGAACATATAATTAACTATATTTGATAATACACGCGTAAATTTTATATATCAATTTTAATTGCAAAGATCGAATTCTCAACTCTTTAAAAAAGAGATGCATATAATAAACATATGCTAATTTATATAATATCTTTAATAATTATCTAACATTATTAAAGCTTATATTTTTATTATATATGTATTAATAAATATACATAAATACAAACTATTTATTTTTCAATACAATTCTATGTGAATATGTTTAATATTTTAAGTAAGATAAGATAAAACAAAAAACTTCATATACCATATATCAGTAATAATATTAAAATTGCATTTATTTCATAGAATCCGAATTTTAATCAAGATGATAATTCATATAATGATATCCAGATGATAAGACCATAATGAACGGACGTTTTCTCCGTGATTCGACGTCTATGGTGTACACGTTTAAGTAGAGGTAATCCTTGGTGCCGATCAATTCGCGCGTGATAACATCCACCTGAGCGTCGACGTTTCCGTGTTTCGAAGCATCACTGCTGTCGGACCATAGTCCGGTGGGGCCGGATCCTAAATACATATCGTACAAATCGCTTCTGATGATTCAACAAAAAAATTACTTCTTTTTGAACATCTGAACAAGATTAGTCATTTCTTATCGTTTTTTGGATGCTGAATGCAAATCCAATTTCCAAATTGCTTCTTCACGTCACAATTTTGAAAATTTTTTAATTAAAATTGCACAAGAAAATTGTTTTTACGAACTTTGTCATATTATAACTAAAATATGTGACGTACTGGAGAAGTTTTATTGTAATCCAAATAAAATATGATAAAATCAAATTAAATATGAACTGTGTTGCGGAAGTTAGCTGTGATCTACAATTAGGCCATTGACGATTTAGTAAATAACTTTTAAGGATTTTTTAGGTCATTGAATATGTATAATTGAATGTCAAAAATTGTCAAATTTGAAATAATATTCAAATAAAAGATGTCAAAATTTAAAAATGTTTTTTTAATATAAATAATAGAAATATAAATATTGAGTCTACCGTTTTGAATCCTACAATTTTGACACCGGACTTCGTATTCAGTGATCTAAAAAACTTTTAAGATTAAATAAACAAAATTGAAATTTATTTAATAAATCGTCAATGACCTAAGTCATCTTATTTAACCAAGGATATCTTATTGACCATAACCGACATCAAAAATTCCTTTTGAGGGTTGAAAATCATAACAATATACTTTATTTAGATTGCAATAAAATTTCTCTGTAGCACGTATCTCATATATTGTAGCTATAATATAACAAAGTGAAAAAACTTTTTTGGTACTTTAATTAAACATTTCTCAAAGTTATGACGTAATGGAATAAAATTTGGAAATCAGATTCGTATTCAGCATTCAAAAATCTATAAGAAACGACTAATCTTCTGGTTAATTTTTTTGTTGACCAGTGTTACAGATGCGGTATGTTTATTTTGCGTAAGAAACATGACGAGAGAATATTTGGAGAACATTGGCATACATATATAAAAGTAGTAATAGAAATCGACACACATATCTTCGGAATTCGTATAAAACAGGTCTTTTCATTAAAGAAATTGAAGAACATTAATTCTTTCCATTATCAGTAAGCAAAGTCCACCTTTGTGAAGAACGCGCGGACGATGATTATATGTAAAAAACATGTCAGCACTTAAATGATGTATAATTCACATTAGAAGTTTCTCATTTATGATAAGTTTTCACTGACACATAGAACGTTTCCAAATATTCGAATTAGAAAAATTCTACGAACAGTATTAAAATATTTATAGATATTTTTTTCGCTGCACAGCATATATTTTTCAAGGTTAATCAGGGTCATCGTAAAAAATCTAAAGAGTATGCATAATAGTATTGAAACAATAAACGAGTCGATTAGATGCACTCGAGCAAAAATGCTCGATTGTGATTGATTGATTTGTTTTCTATGTTCGTATTTTTTACGTGCTTTAGTTACACAAATCTTACATAGAAAAGAGAATAAGCTTAATTCACATTAAAAATAAATTATACAAAGAGAAATTATTCAAGATTACATCTGAGATTATCATTGCTGTAATTTAAAAATTAATTTACAATAAGAATTCTATTTTTTCTAACTTTCAAAAACTCTTCTATAAGTTTTTGCAAATTATTCAGTGGTGATTGATATCGTTACTTTCAAAATTGTTTGCAATTATATGGGATTATCTAACAATTAAAAAACATTTGAAAAAAATTCCGTTGCTTGTCTTCAACTGCAATTTCTGTATAACCGAGATTCTTCAATTCCCAATTCTGGATAGAAAGGCAAACTTGAGTTTCAAATTCGCCAACAAAGATAACAAGACACGTAAGAAGGCATTCACCTTGAATCTTAGTTTACCGACCGGCGGTTTCACGTACGGTATTCCTCGGAAGGCGATGCAATAGTCGTCGTGAACATTTTCCTCGACGATACCGATACCAATTAATTGGCTCTTGCGCACGTTCACGGCCACACGGTTGCTGTTCATAACGGACACTGAACGAATAACACCAGAATCGGTGCTAATAACCTGGCCGAGATCCACGCAACGTGACTGTCAACGTGACTCCGTCGGGATTAATGCAACCATATTTACGCTCACGCAATTGAAACTTGGAAGCATAAGATTATAAAACGAGTTGAATTCGCGAGGAATGATGATTCGCCATTTCTCAAAGACTCTCATTACGAATATAGTCGATAATGTTATTGATAATAATTTGAGACTTATCATATATGTAACGCGCAAACATTAAGTTTGTACTTCTTGATTATCTTATATAAACTCGTCTAAGCCAGAAAAAGATAGTAGATAGACAAATAATATAAATAAGATATTTATCTTTTTTCTTATCTCGAAAATTTTCTCATTGGAATTATGAGTCAGTGTATCGCATAAATCGATAACAGTATTGTAGTAACCCAGTTATCATATTTCGGGACATTAGTTCTTTTTTTTCAAAATAGAAAATGTGAAAATGTATTTAAATAGAGATACATGGAGAGAAAAAAAGAAATTTTATTTTTAAAAGAATATATTTTTTATACGTCTGGTGTTTAATAAATCTCTGATCAAGAATTGTAAAATATTTCTTGGGATTACTTTAAAAAAATTAAAAATAAAAAACATTTAAATAAATAATATGTATATATATTGTATACATATTATTTTTCTAAATACTGCATACAGTAAACATATATGTATACTATATACAGTATACAAATATATATGTACATATTTATATCCAATGAGCAGATAATGTGTTTAAAAAAAGGAGGATTCCAAACTGGGAAAACGGTTTAGCTTTGGTCACCATTGTTACGTCACATTGTTTCTCACAGTCAGTTTTTTGTTAGTTTGTCAGCTTTTTGCACCACAAAGTTTTCTTCAGAGCTATTCAATAGTTTTAGTTAAATTTCTTCATATTTTATTTCAAACTATAAGTCTGTTTTAAGATTCGTGTGGTTAACGAATGGTTCTGCACCAGGAAATTGTTCCAATTTGGAAAACTCTTTTAATAATTGAACTCTGATCTCCCAATTCGATCGTTGGTATTCTTTAATAAGAATCTCCATATGAGGTTCATTATCAATTTCTAAATAATCATACTTTGTACCATTTTTTATTGGAGTCCATGTAAAATTAGCTGAAGATGTTGGATTTCTGCAATAAATGTGTAATTGATTATTATTACGCAATTGTACGATGTCACAATAAATATGCATTAGAAATGTCAAGTCTATGATACCCCGTTTTAGCAAAATCTGTCCACATCTGTGTTAAGTACTCCATTATTTTATAATCCGGCGTACCATGTGCAAATGGTCTCACATAGTGTCGTAGACCTATTACATGAGGATAAAATAAATAACCCAGTTCCTCAAAGTGAGATGTACCTACAAAATATAGTTATGTAAATTAATCTCAAAGATAATTTTTCCATACATTACAAGAGCAATATGAAGTTTATATTTAAAAGTTCTCTAAATTTTTCTTAATCAAATTTCTTCAGAACTGTAAGTTTTTCTTCAATCATATATAGAAATTTAAAGACATTTAATTTCACGTTCACTTCTTTTCTAACTATAATATTAATTTAATTTTTACGTAGTTCTACTTTAATTAACAACGCAATACCTGGAAGCGAATATGCAATAAATAGATTCTTCAAGAGGGAGGTTTCACTTTCGTACGAAAATCTGTACAAGTAGGTCGACTGGTTTACAACATTAGAATTCATTTGAGTATCAATTGCTTGCATAATGCCTCTATAGATATACTGATCGCCGATAAAATCAGAAAGATCCATTATAGTTTCCTTTGACACTGTTCCATTACCAAAATACAGTGATCGTAATTCCGGTACCGTGATCCCTAGTTGTGGTAATTGACGCAAAATTCTAGGATATATGGCTTTCTCGAAATCAGAATTAATTTCCTTTAAAGTCTCCTCGTTTACCCCTGAAACGATTTTAATAACGATTTTAATATTAATTTAATTTAATGTTATTGATTTTAGTTTTAATTTTATTTTTTAACTTCTATAACAACATTTTATTTAAGCATTTTAAATAAATATGTAACTTTATTACTTTAAAACAAAACAATTTTATTAAATAAATAATTAATTATTCTTTGTACATTTAAAAATTACATATTGATGAAATCCTAAAACTTATTAATATTGATTAATTATAACATTGTTTGTACATCACAATATTTTTAAAATATTGGAAATCGCTTTTCTAGGAAAATTTTACATGTAACAATGACTCATGATATACTAATAATAATATGTAATAATGAAAAACAAAAGCAAATATATATACTTACGGAAAGACAAGGAATTTATGAAGTAATTGCCTTCCTGGCTATTATATCCGAATATGATTGGTACTGTAATTCCATTACGTAATAATTGTAATGGATTTTCTGGTAAAAAAGGATTCGATGACTCGGAATCCACGGTCGGCGTAAATTTATATATACCATCTAACAATAAGTCAACCTGCAAGAACATATTATCAATGTAAAAAAATAATTTATTGTCATTCATCGAATGTTATTATTGCAATAATCATAACAGCGTGTCAAAAAGACCTTTATTTCTGTCAATTTTCTTCCGTCTATGTTTTTTAGAAATTGCAAGGCGATTTCCGAATCTGAAGTCGCATTACCAAGTTTCTGGGCTAACATTATACCGTTATTAATAGCTTCGTCTCGTTCAGTGAAAGCCCAAGGCACAGTCGCGGCGCCACTTTGACATATTGCTTTATGAAATAAACCTGTTAAGCACACATTTGCACATAATATAATTAGCACTCGAAGAAGTTTTATATGATTTTATCATGAGACCTTTGTTTTTTTCCTCTTTGACTCAAAATAACACATTAAATTAATCAGCATATCTTTAATTTTCAATTCTCAATTTAGAATTAATTTTTCTTTATTAAAGGATATTATCATTTATCTTCCAAGTAATTTTCTACGACGTTTTAAAACGTGGATATTATATAGTTTGTAATCGAGGTTTAAGTTAAAATAAAAAAAATCTTTTAATTAAAAATTTTTGTTATAGCAAAGCTATAAAAAAAATTTTCTTTTGTATAAAATGTGTTCTTAAATATTCTTAATATATGCATATTAATATTATGTCCTTTTGATTCGTACCTTTAGCTAACGGTGAAATAGTCAGATAGTGAACCATCACTGCACCCGCATTTTGACCAAAAATTGTGACGTTATCGGGATCTCCACCGAAATGCAACATATTTCTTTGAACCCATGTTAGCGCCATAACTACATCTTTTAATCCCTGATTTCCCGTCGCCATTTTTGTATAAAAATTGAGAAAACCTAAAGAGAGAGGTTGAAAGAAACATGTCGTTAATATGAACCCACGGGTTCACCGTTGTCCCCAATAATATCTGATATAGGTCTTCAAGACATTGAAAATAAAGTTTTACATAAAATCAAGAATAATATACTGTTTTACCATAGATATGTAAATGACATTATATGCGCGGCTAAACACAGCGAAATAATAGCAATACAAAATTTTTTCGACTCAATTATGGAATAATCAACCACATTATGGAATAATCAACCACATTATGGAATAATAAAATTAAATTTACCATAGAAATGGAAAAAAATAATAGTATCAGTTTTTTAGATTTAAAACTAATCAGAAGTAACAATCGAATTATCACCAACTGGTATCACAAAAACACGTTCTCAGGTAGATACCTCTCTTTTTATTCAAACCATCCAACCCATCATAAAATAGGCACAATTTTCAGTTTAATAGATAGAGCATTACTTTTGTCGGATCCCATTTATTATAATAAAAACATAACAATTTGTATTGAACTATTGTTGGATAATGGGTATCCATTGGAATTTATATTCAAACATATCAATATAAGGATCAAAAAAATTATATATAATATATTCAATGATTGCAACTATAATACACATCCTAATTTGACACGAGAGTCACAAAGAAGGTTCATAGGTTTCCTATATGTAAAGTGTCTCTCTCAACACATTAAAAAATCATTCAAAAATACAGATTATACACGTGGGTATGCTTGTCTTAATAGATTGGATAAGTTTATCAAACTGCATAAAGATTCCACTGATCACATTTCATAAACACAACATTATTTATAAAATAATGTGTAAGGATTGCGACGCTTCATATGTCGGTCAATCTAAACGCAAACTTAATACAAGAATTAATGAATATATAAAAAATATAAAACAATCGAATTCGAGCGTAGTTTCTAGACATATTGATGAAAGAAGTTATAAAACGTTAAAATTTTTGAAACGTTATAAGTTATGAAAATTGGTTATTGTTTTGAAATTAATATCTAAAAAGAATCGTACATATACGTAAATTATTTGAATTGTGGAGAGTGGAATGCGTGTGTATATCTTTAGTTAAAAAAAATGAATCATCAAACGCAACTAAGTAATATAAAATGATTTCGAGCCAATTAATAATATACCTAGAACACCTAATCTGTAATTCAGGGTAACGAGTACTACATCCTTCCTTATGATATATTCGGGACCGTCAATGAGCAAGGTGCCGTCCCCCACAAAAAAGCCTCCACCATGTATCCACACCATCACAGCGCGTTTTTTAAAAGGCATCATGTCTTTGGTATACACGTTCAAATAGAGACAGTCTTCGTTGCCAATGACTACCTCCCTGTGTGTGTTCCCAATAGTATAGTTCCAGAATATGTTCTGAAGAGAGACGTTTCTGTAAAACGAAGCGTCTCTGTCACCGAACCAAGGTTCTGGTGGTTGCGGATCCTACAATCAGTGTTTGTTATTTAAATAAAACTTCATAGATGATCAGTTAGATGAATTTTTGGCGCTATCTTATCTTGTACTAAATTATTCAGATAATTTAATTTAGAGTCACAGCATAAAAATAACTAATTACTAGAACTTAAGCAATAAACGATAAAAATTTAGAAATAAAATAAAAATAGTAATTAGCTCTGTTAAACTTAATAATTGTAAACAAAGAAGAGCTATAAGAGCTATTAAACGTATTTTATTATTTTTTGATATTAATTTGATGTCCAAGAAACTCAAATTATGGTTTTTTCTTTTTCAATTGTGAATTGTATTGGTGGGTGTAACGTTTGGTGGATTGGACGTTTTGTTTTGTCTTTACTAAAAACATTTAAAAATATGTCGGATCTGATACTTGAAACTTCTATAAAATAATCACCATTTTGTTTGAGTGAGTGTGTAGTACATTTTACTTGGCAGATTATAATGAATAATCAGTTATTGTTTATTTAGATCTCAATTTAATGCTTAACAATATTTCAACATGAAGATTTAATCAAGATATCTCCCTTGACCAGTAAATCAGGAAGTCTATACTCATAAGTGACTGCATGGTATGGTCGCTCGAACTCTGTATGTATCAGTAATGGTGGCTGTCAGACACGATGACTTGTTTAGCAACATATGTAACGAGATCTAAAGCTGACTTTATATATATATTATCTTGACATTGTTAATAACCGTCTTTAATGTTTAATATTATAATTCAATTTTTAATTCAAATTATTTTATTGTGCTGAAGAAGGCTTGAAATGTCAGCCGAAACGTTCGCAAAATGTTTATTTTTTATGTATTTATTATTTGGTTTAAAAGAATTTTATTAATATCAACTGTCAACTGTATTACGTTTAATAGCTCTTATAGCCCTTCTTTGTTTACAATTATTAGAAATAAAAGTATGAATATATTTTTATATTTTATTTATAATTTACATTTTTTATATAACAATGTTTACATAAGTGATTTTAAAAATAATATTATCTGGAAGTTAGGTGAACAGCCATGTAATTTTATTTTTTATCCAGATAAATGTAAAACAAAATCATCTTAATCTCATACAAGATGAATTTACATATTTATCTCATCTTTATCTAGCTAATTCTAAAATCATCTAATAATAAGAACAACATTGCCTACAATAAATATAAAATTCAATAAATTATATCAAACACTTCTAGCAACAGATACACTTGCAAATACTAAATAAGGTTTGAAATGAGATAAGCATTTGTATTTCTCATTATTTTGAATATTTCGACTATCGTCAACAGATTTACTAATCTGAGATGATTCAAAGGTCTTGGAAATCTCTATAGTTTAATCAGAGTCTTTTTAATTTATTATTATAAATACACATACAATTGCGATTGATTTTAAAATTGCAATGGTGATATCGTCAAGTTATACATTTTTTTTAAAGCATGTTAACTGAGTGAATTTAATTCTAATCGAAGTATTGAGGGTTCTTTTTCCGCGATGGTTGATTGTCGCAAAGTTTGCTTCGCGGCATGAATCACAACTAATTGACTATTTGACAGTTTTACAGTTTGCGGTTAAACTTAATTAATATTATTTTAATTTACCGAGTTCTTATTATGCACATAATTTTGTTTTGGCCGTATTTCTGTTATGTATATAATTATAATTCGCCAAATTACTATTATGTGTATAATTTTAATTTGCTGAATTTCTATTATGTAAATAATTTTAATTCGCTGAATTTTTATTACTTATACATAATTTTATTGTATATATAATTTATTTTTGAATTTTCATTGTGTATATAATTTTAGTTCTTAAATTTCCACTATGTTTTAAATTTTGGTGTGGAAAATTTCTTTTATTTACATAATATTAATTAGCCAATTTTCTATTACGTACAATTTTGATTATTTACATAATAGAAATACAGCATATTTATTTATGCCAAAATTATCATTAATTAATTAAAAAATGTTTATTAATTAATATTAATTATTCAAATGTATTGCAAGTTTAAAATTTCATAAAGATTCTAATAAGTTAATGAATGTAGTCATTCTTAAAACTGAACACTAGTAATATTTTTGTCAAAAAAAAAAAATAGGACATGTTTATAATAATTTTTTTTGCCTAAAAGGATATGTACAATTATGTCTTAAAATTATGTAATAGCTCATTCATCCTATATAACTAGGTTTTATTTCTAATTTTTGTAAATGACTGTATCTTTTATATTTTAAACAAGTATTCAATCAAGAGTTTGTATCACTTGTCAAAGTGAATCTTTTAACAAAGATAGTAATATTTATAACCATTCTCCGTACTTACTTGAAATCTGAGATCACCCACTGGAGGTTTAGCATATGGTATTCCACGAAAAGCATTGTAAGAATTGCCATAAACTCTTGCCTCGACGATGCCGACTAATGTCCCTTCAGACACATTTACTTTTATTCTGTTCGACGTTTCGTCGACGGATGGCTCTGAAAAATTTATGCTCTGGCTAATTTATTAGGAAAAATAAATATTTATATACAAACATATATGTCTATATATGGTATACATTCTCTTATCGTGATTCGAAAGATACGACTCGCACCTTTGCATCCGCGATTTTAAATTCCACACATGTGCTATTATATATAAGAGACACGACAAAATGATCGCACACGTATATGTGTAAGTATTTTCGAAGCATCACGAGTATTGTCGTCGTGACGTCGTTCTTTTCATCCCTATACGCGACTGCTTTTAATTCTTGATCGATGGCGATGAAGACAACGATAATCGCGTCATGTTTGCGGAGATGTCAGGCAGAAATGCACTTTCGGTCGCTTATATTCTACCTACACGACGTCGATATAATCTCGCATCGTGTTCGTTAATTCAGCGAAATATAATTAATCGGCTTTTGTTGTCACGCGCGCGCAGTATCGGGGGAACGGAGAGGCGTTATATGAAAACTTGCTGTTGCGTCTTGCTTTTGTATCCCTGAGGTATTCCCGAAGAATATTATTGCGGTGTGCACGATGCGGACTACCCAACGAGAAATGATGATTGAATCGACGTCGATTCGTTGTCAAATTGATGTCAAATTTGTCGAATCAATGACGATTCGACCAATCATTTCTCACTGGGTATATAAATACAAATTTACTGGCGGAATTGCGGAAACAAATAAAAATGGCGATCTATCCTCGCTAAAGCGGTTATACATAAGTCTGCGGAGATGTTTTTCCGGGCAAGGAGACATAAATAAATTCAATGTGCAATAGACTGTGGAATACAGAACTTCTTTAAATCGTAAATTGTTGTATTTGGTAATCGATCGAGCGACATTTTGTTTGTTTAAGTGCGCATTTTTCGCTGGAGAACTCCTTGTATTAGAGAGCTTGGTGTGCTTTCTAGTAACGAAACAGTGTTACACAGATCAGGCTTCTTTTTCTTTAAGTTATTTATCATCTACAGTATTTACTATTATCTAAATAAAATTATAAAGATTATAATCTAGATAAAATTTGAGAGAAGTGGATGGTGAGACGAGGAGTGGTGGAGAAGAAAAAAGGAAGGTAAGGAGGGAGCTGAGGAAGTGAAGGAGGGATGGAGGAGAGGGAGAAGAATACAGGAGAAAAAGGAGAATATAAGAGGTTATGTGAGAGGAAGAAAAAGGAAGAAAACGAGAAATGAGAAAGGAGGGCAGCGGAGGTGAAAAAAGAAGCAGAAGTGTGGGAAATAGTTAACAAAGAGAGAAGGAGAGAAAAGGGAATAAATGAGGAAATTGAGATGAGAGAGTGGAGAGATTACTTCATGAAGTTGCTAGGAGGAGTGGAGGAGAGGAGAGCAAGAAAGGAGAGAAAGGACAGAAGAGATAATAAAGAAGAGGAGGAGGAAGAGGAAATAAGTAGGACAGAATTGCTAGAGGCAATAAAGAAACTGAAAAAAGGAAAAGCGTCGGGGATAGATGAGATTCTGAATGAGGTCTGGAAATATGGAGGAGGAACTTGGAAAATTGAGCATTGGATTTTTATAACAGGATTTGGAAAGGAGAAGGATAACCGGAGAAATGGAAGGAGGGTGTGATAGTACCGATAAAGAAGAAAGGAGGAGGAAAGGTAGTAGAGGATTACAGGAGAGTAACATTGATGCCAACATTGTATAAAGTGTATACAATGATCCTAACAGAAAGATTGAGGAAGGAGGTGGAGGAGAAAAGAATAATAAAAGAAAATCAGATGGGATTAGAAGAGAAATGGGTACGATGGACAACATTTATGTGATGAACTACCTGATTAACAGACAATTAGAAAGAAAAGGTGGAAGGATGACGGCACTCTTCGTAGATCTGAAGGCAGCGTTCGACTCGGTGGACAGGGGGAAAGTAATGAAGGCAATGGAAGAGAGTGGAATAAGGAAGGGACTGAGAAAAAGGGTGGAGGAAGTGATAAGGGAAACGATATGTAGAATAAAGGTAGGAGAGGAAATAGGGGAGAAGTTCTGGATAGAGAAAGGAGTAAGGCAGGGGTGTCCATTGAGTTCGCTGTTATTCAATATCCTGATAGCGGACTTAGAAGAAAAGATGGGGAAGGTGAAAAGAGGAGGAGTGAGGCTAGGGAAGAAAAGAATATACACGTTAGCATACGCGGATGATATGGTGTTGCTGGTAGAGGAGGAGGAAGAATTAAGGAGCATGATAGAACAATTAGAAGAGTACTTAGATCATAAAAGGCTAAAATTGAATGCGAAGAAGTCGAAAGTTATGAGATTTAGGAGAAAGGGGGGAAAGTGGAAAAAAAGGGAATGGAGATGGAAAGGAGAGAGAATGGAGGAAGTAAAGGAATTCACGTATTTGGGATATAGGCTACAGAGGAACGGAGGACAAGAAGGACAGGTGAGGGAAAGGATGAGGAGAGCAGCATCGATTATGGATCAGATGTGGGGGATAGGGAAAAGAAGATTCGGAAAAGACTGGGGAAGAAGGCTTTGGCTGTTTGACAAGCTGGTGTGGACAGTGTTGAGCTATGGGGTAGAAATATGGGGATGGAAGGAGAGAGAGGGAATGGAAAGATTAAAGGAAAGGTACCTGAGATGGACATTAGGGGTAGAAAGGAGGACACCAGGATACATGGTGAGAGAGGAGCTGAGAAGAGAAAAACTGAGAACAAGAGCTGGGAAGAGAGCGTGGAGCTTTGGGAAGAGGAAGCGAGTTAGCAAGAAAATGCTGGGAGAAAATGAGAGAAAGGGCGAAAGAAGGAAAGGTGGGCTCAGAATGGAAAAGGAAAGAGAAGAATACTTTAGGAAAAGAGGGAAAAGGATAGAAGAAGTAGAAGAGAGGAGAGGGGAGAAAGAGGGGTGGTTCGGAGAATTGTTAAGGAAGGATTGGGAGGAGCAGAGGAAAGGAAGGGAGGAAAGAATAGAAAAGTCAGAGTATAATAAATGGTATAAGGAGATTAGAGTGGAAGGAGTTCCGGAGTATTTAAGAAAAGGTTGGGGGAGAGCAGGTGGAGGAGAGTGGTGAGGTTTAGATTGGGAAATGAGATGCTAGAAAGTAGATACTAAGAGAAAGAAGAAAAGAAAAAATGCAGGTTATGTGGGGAAGAGGAGGAATCTGAGGAACATATTTAGGAAAGATGTGGAATAAGTAGCGAAAGGGAAAGGAGTTGGCAGGAAGTAGTCAGGGAAATTCTAGGAGAGGGAGGAGAGGAAGAAAGATGGATGATGGAGATAGAGGAAGAGAGAGAGAAGGAAGGAGAGACGAATGGGAGGAATAAAATGAAAGAATGAAAGAGAGAGAAAAAACGTAAAAGAGCAGAAAAGCAATAGGAAACGGAAGTCCTAAGCGGCGAGATGTGTGTGTGCGTGTACTGGGGAATGGAGCGGAAGCTAAGTGGAGAAGGCCACAAGAGCGACCCAAGGTGGAAGCTCAACCCCCTAGAAACATTAAGTTAAGTAGGTTAAGTTAGGTTAAGTGAATAATGTAAGCGTTTTTGTTTTTGTTTTTGTTTTTGTATTTTAAATTGTAACTCTACGAGAAACAATAAAGTTTTTATCTATCTATCTATCTAGATAAAATTTTGTTATTTTACCTTTCGATAATATATATATATTATTTATACCTGCACCTTAGATGAAAAAATTAAGTGTTATCATTACTAAATTACTTAGAATAATGTTCAGATAAATTGATTGAGAGTCATAGCCAGTGTTTGCTGATCTTTAAATAAAATTATATAAATGATTTGGATAAAATTTTGACGTCATTTTATCTTTATATAGATAATAAAAATACGTTTATTCTACAGCTGCATCTTATATAAAAAAAGTGTTATCTTCATTAAATTATCTAGAATATATATTGTTCAGATAATTTTAGGTTTAAAGTCATTTCACATAAAGATAACTGTTAAGTAATAAAGCTTAAGTGGTAAGCGATAACAATTTATAAATAAAATGTGAATATGTTATTATATGTATACATTTTATAATTTACATTTTTTTATAATTGTGTTTACATAAGCGGTGCTAAAAAAATATTATCTGAAATTTATCTAAATAAATTACCACATAATATTATCTTTTATCAAGATATATTTCAAATAAAATTATCATTATTTTATCTTACAATTAGATAAATTTGCATATATTTACCTTAGTTTTATCTATTTAATTTTAAACTGATATAAACACAGCAATGACAATCTGGTAAATAAAAGTCTTACCTGTGTGGTTACCAAAGACAGGTTGATTTAGTATTAGAAGAGTTAGAATGCATCTCAGAATAGAGATAAAACATAGGTTTACGTTGAACATTTTTATCTCTATTCATGAATGGCAATATTGTTACACAATCTCGACTAGTGGAGGCTGGCGAGGTCAACGATCTGTAATTATAAATTGCAGGAGACACTTTTACCATAAAAAGATACTAAGAAAATGTAAGAGTAGATAGTAAAAATGTAAAAATAAAAACTCTTGTGTATATAGCTAATAGACAAATAATAAAAAAAATTCAAGATAATGAACAAATTTAAATATATTACATCTTTTATATAAGTAATTCCAAGTGAACTCACTATATACCATAGTATGTTGATGATATAATGTGGTTCTAATTAAACTACGGAAAAGGCGAGGCGGATAGTGATACGCAGTGATGTCGCAAAAAAATTGAAAAGTAATGTTTGTTATAAATTTGCTGTATAGCAACTATCTGCCATACAGCAGGTTTGTTACGGTGATTTATATGGTACTGAAAATGTGCGAGAGTCTCGAAACGGCTATCAGTATTATTGTATCGTTATATTTACATTTATTTTCATGTACGTCTGTGTATTGGTGTGTGTCTCCTTCGTCTTGTGTTTATTATAATCCTGCTTACCTGAGTACGTATATGTGTGTCTACGGACATGTATGTCTTTATTTTAAAAAGTTTATTTAATTATATTTGTTGTTTTTTCATTATTTGTATTGTATAATTAAAAAATAATATCTTATTCAAATTTATATCATCTTATACTATTTACATTGCAAACATACATTCAAGTAATATCTTCCAATTTCAGCGTGAATAATTGTCTCATATTAGAAAATGGAAAAAATATTGTTTTGCCACGGATTTAATTTTTCTTAATTTTTATGCAAAACAAATTAAATTTTTTTTACATATTGTACACTTCGATCATTTTAAACATATGGATTATTATGAAGAAATTTTATTGTCAAGAAATCTGTGATTTTTGGTGCAGCTTGGGGTATAAGAAGACACAAAATTTCATTCGCTATAATTTTTTAAAATACTTTATGTAACTTTTTTTGGATTTTAAACAAGAAAGAGGATACTCGCGAATTTTGTTGGTTTCACTTATTTGTAAAAAGTCTACGAGTTAAAAAAAATTATTAAAATACTCAAAGAATCATAGGTTTCTAATATAGTTTTTATATATTTAAAATTATCTTTATATATAAAATATATACTACATATTTTAGTAAAATTAATTTATATCTTATTGTGGTGGATATTAATATTTTTATTTGTGATATAAATATATATTTAATAAATATATTTTCTAATCAAAAAAACTTTATAAAATTCTTAAAATATCATTTTGTACATTTAATTTCACGATAATTTATAAAAGAAAATTCACGGTGTATACATCTGTATAGAAAAATAATAAAGAAATTCAAGAAAATAAACAGAATTAAATATATTACATTTTTCTATATAAATAATTCTAACTTGACTCACTTTATATTGTTGATATCTTGTAGCTTTTATTGCACTACAGAAAAGGGGATGCTGATAGTGATGCGCAGTGACGTTGCAAAGAAATTGAAAATTAATGTTCACTATAAAGCTGTTCGGCAACAAACGTCTGTTCGTTTCAGTATTTTATATGGTACTGAAAGTGTGCGAGATACTCGAAACGACTTTCTGTGTTATTGTATCGTCATATTTACGTTTATTTTCATGTACGTTCGTGTGTTGGTGTGTGTCTACTTCGTCTTATGTGTGTTATATCCTGCTTGCCGAAAAGTGTGTAGGTGTGTATCTGCCCTTATATGTATATGTGTGTTTGTTAAAATCTCAAAGAACAAATCCAATCGTATAACATTTACCTAGCGAATTCGCTTTGGGTGCAGCTGATGTCGGCGGAAATTTTTGAAATAATATGCAACTTTACATTTTTTTAATTTTATGTTGAGGCAATTGAAAGATTATGTTAGAAAATGGAAACAAAATTGTTCTGCTACATATTTTAAAATTTAAGCCGTTTAAAATTATATCTTATTCAATAATTTGGTTTTTAATACAATAATGAATAGAGCGGAGAGAGGAAAGAAGAGAGAATGCTCAGTCGCGTATGTCACTTCGATCTACTAAAGTATTTATCTCGATTTATTTTTCGATTTATATTATATTTAATACAATAAATACACCATTCAACAAAAAAGACTTTATTTCAGCTTTGGAAATTACCAAAGCGTATTCTTATAAATTATTTTCTGCTAATTACGAATCCGGCCGCGAAAATTGCGTATTACGTCAGGTTTTGTAAATATGTAAAGATGAGAAAAAAAGCATTTTAAATACTATTCTGTAAAATATAACTTCTAATTGGAACGTAATAAAAAATGCTTCGAGAGCTCAAAATAAAGCTTAAGACTTGTAGGTTGTGCAAATAATGTAAAAAAGTTCGAATTTAGAGTTTTTGAGAAAACTAAATTAAGAAATTGAAAGTATCATTTTTCGCACTTTTCCTTATACTAATACAAAGTCTTTAGAGGTATGGTAAAATGGCTCACATTTTTTTTACAAATATGAATATGACAAAATGTCTTCAATCACTGATAAATAATGATTCATATTTTTAAAATTAGAAATAGCAAATCAAAGTTTCAAAAATTAATGTTCGTAAAAATAAGTAGGTTAAGATTTATTTATAACTTATATTAAATTTGTGAATTCGATTTTTGATCAAGCTATTTAAAAAATCTGGCGTAATACGCAATTTTCACGGCCGGATTCGTAATCAGCATGAGAAAATCTATACGAATAAGGTTTAAAAATCTCAGAACCTTTTTGTGTGTCGAACAGTATTATTAAACATACACAGAAAAAAAGGAATCCTTGATTCAAGTATATTTTTATTCTCGAACACTATTTGATTGATTTAAGCATAGAATGCTCTTTGTAATCACAAATTTTCATTTGCCTTAATAATAAATAAGTTTGTGTAAAGTATATTTTATCCTTAAGATATATTCTTGTTTTAAAAATCGTATATGGCAAAAACAAACTTAGTCACATTTGAACTAAGAATTATTATATTTATTTGAAAGTACCGTTTATATCCGATGCACACTTGTCACTTGTCCTTGCAATATTTATAAGTAAATTTCAGCTTCAACCAAGAATATTTTGCACTTTGTTTTAAGGATAAATTATCCTTTATCCAAAATTATTTATATTTGGTGCTATTATAAGGATAAAATATACTTGAATCAAGGCATATTTGCATTCTCTCAAGGATACTGTTTTTTCTGTGTATATAATAATTATCAACATTTACCCACGAAAATATTATATCTGCTAAAAAGCAATGCACAAGCAGTGCCTTTCATCTTTATTTATTCTTGTGAAGTATAAATGAGAAAGTATATGTATATAAATAAAAGAACATATATTCTGTTGTATACTTTACATATTTTTAAACAACTATACACATGCATAATTTTTTTTTGATTAAATTTAAATTTGTGGTCTCGGCTATCGTAAATATGTATATACAGATCGACAAGCACATGCGCTAATTGTATAAAAACAGTTTATGTAATTATTAATCATTATTTTTACGTAATTAAAAATACATGTATAATTTCATTTTTGATCGAATTTAAATTCGAGAATCGGTGCTAGTAACCTGGTCGAGATTTACGCAGCGTAACTGTCGACGTGTCTCCGCCGGGATTAATGCAGCCATACTTATATTTACGCAATCGAACTTGGAACTTGGAAGCATATGATTATGAAACGAGTTGGACTCGCGAGGAAAAATGATTCGCCATTTTTCAAAGACTCTCATTACGAATATCGTCAATAACGTTATTGATAATAATTTGAGACTTATCATATATGTAACGTGCAAACATCGATTTTGTATTTCTTGATTATCTTTTATAATTTCGTCTAAGCCACAAGGAGATAGCGGATAGACAAAAAATATAAATAAGATTTATATCTTTTTCTTATCTCAAAAATTTTCTCATTGGAATTATGAATCAGTGTATCGCATAAATCGATAACAGTATTGTAGCAACCTAGTTATCATATTTCGGGACATTAGTTCTTTTTTTTCAAAAATTGAAAATGTGAAAATGTATTTAAATAAAGATACATGGAAAAAGAAAAGACATTATATTTTTAAATAAATATATTTTTTATACGTCTGGGGTACGTCTTTAATAAATCTCTGATAACAATTGCAAACTATTTTTTGGGATTACTTTGAAATATTAAAATTAAAAATGTTTAGAAAAATAATATGTATACAGTATACATATCATTTTTCTAAATATTGTATACAGTAAACATATATGTATACTATATAGAGTATACATATATCTATTTTCATATTTATATCCAATAAACAGATAATGCGTTAAAAAAAAGGAGGATTCCAAATTGGAAAAACGGTATAGCTTTGGTCATCATTGATAAATCACATTGTTTCCCACTGTCAGTTTTTTGTTAGTTTGTCAGTTTTTCTGCATCAATAAGTTTTCTTTTTAGAGTTATTCAATTTTAGTTAAATATCTTCATATTTTATCTCATATATCATATATTATGTGATACTACAAGTCTGGGTGAAAGTTTGTGTGATTAGCGAATGGTTCTGCACCAGAAAATTGTTCCAATTTGTTATATCCTTTTGATAAGTTAAGTCTGTTCTCCCAGTCCCATCGTTGGTTTCCTTTAATAAGAATCTTCATTTGAGGTTCATTATTAATATCTAAATAATCATACGTTGTACCATTTTTCACTGGAATCCATGTAAAATTAGCTGAAGAAAGTGTTGGATTTCTGCAATAAATGTGTAATTGATTATTATTACGCAATTGTACGATGTCACAATAAATATTCGTAAGTAATGTCAAGTCTATAATACCCCGTTTTAGCAAAATCTGCCCACATCTGCGTTAAATATTCCATTATTTTATAATTCGGCGTACCATGTCTAAATGGTGTCACCTTATATCGTTGTAGTCCTTCTACATGAGGATCAAATAAATAACCCAGTTCTTCATAGTGAGATGTACCTACAAAATATAGTTATGTAAATTAATCTCAAAGATAATTTTTCCATACATTACAAGAGCAATATGAAGTTTATATTTAAAAGTTCTCTAAATTTTTCTTAATCAAATTTCTTCAGAACTGTAAGTTTTTCTTCAATCATATATAGAAATTTAAAGACATTTAATTTCACGTTCACTTCTTTTCTAACTATAATATTAATTTAATTTTTACATAGTTCTACTTTAATTAACAACGCAATACCTGGAAGCTGAGTTGCAAGCAATAGATTCTTCAAAGGGGAGGTTTCACTATCGTACGAAAATCTGTACAAGTAGGTCGACTGGTTTACATCAGAATTCATTTGAGTATCAATTGCTTGCATAATGCCTCTATAGATATACTGATCGCCGATAAAATCAAAAAGATCCATTATAGTTTCCTTTGACACTGTTCCATTACCAAAATACAGTGATCGTAATTCCGGTACCGTGATCCCTAGTTGTGGTAATTGACGCAAAATTCTAGGATATATGGCTTTCTCGAAATCAGAATTAATTTCCTTTAAAATCTCCTCGTCTACCCCTGAAACGATTTTAATAACGATTTTAATATTAATTTAATTTAATGTTATTGATTTTAGTTTTAATTTTATTTTTTAACTTCTATAACAACTTTTTATTTATGCATTTTAAATAAATATGTAACTTTATTACTTTAAAACAAAACAATTTTATTAAATAAATAATTAATTATTCTTTGTACATTTAAAGGTTACATATTGATGAAATTTTAAAACTTATTAATATTGATTAATTATAACATTGTTTGTACATCACAATATTTTTAAAATATTGCAAATCGCCTTTTTAGAAAAATTTTACATATAACAATGACTCATGATGTACTAATAATAATATGTAATAATGAAAAGCAAAAGGAAATATATATGCTTACAGCCGAAAGAAAAGGAATTTGTGAAGTAATTGCCTTCCTGGGTATTATATCCGAATATGATTGGTACTGTAATTCTATTACGTAATAATTGCAATGGATTTTCTGGTAAAAGAGGATTCGGTGACTCGGAATCCACAGTCGGCGTAAATGCAAGCAAAACATCTAAGCCAATCTGCAAGAACATAGTATTATCAATACAAAAAAAAATATTTTATTGTAATTCATCGAATATTATTATTGCAATAATTGTAATAGAGTGGCAAAAAGACCTCTGCTTCTGTCCTTATCAATTTTTTTCCGTTTATGTTTTTCAGAAACTTCAGGGCTTCTTCCGGATCTGAAGTCGCACTACCAAGTTTCTGAGCTAACATCATACCGTTATTGATAGCATCGTCTCGTTCATTGAAAGCCCAAGGAACAGTCGCGGCGCCACTTTGACATATTGCTTTATGAAATAAACCTGTTAAGCACACATTCGCATATAATATAATTGGCACTCGAAGAAGTTTTATATGATTTTATCATGAGACCTTTGCTTTTTTCCTCTTTGACTCAAAATAACACATAAAATTAATCAGCGTACTTTTAATTTTCAATTCTCAATTTAGAATTGATTTTTCTTTATTGAAGGATGTTATCATTTATCTTCCAAGTAATTTTCTACG